CAGCAGGGCACAGAATGCACTCTTGGGCTGCGGTACCTATGGAAGTAGATTTCAGACCGAGCTGTCCTGCCCAGCTAGTCACAGCTAACTGTGTAGCAGGACCAGGAGCATAAATTTCCTGATGTAAGCATGCAGTCAGTGGGAGGAGGCAGAGCTGCTCCCCAGACAGTGCGGTTCTCAAGAGTAGAACAGCTTCTGGGAGGAAGGGAGCTTGCTAGACACAGTTTTTGGCAGCTGAAGCTCCTCCATTTCAGCCTTAATTGTATGTGAGACAAGCAGGATTCTGTGTTCATCCCTCTTGCCTCCTCATTTTGTCTGTCTTGGTTAAGCTTAACTTGTGGCCTTCCTTCTTATTTGTAATAGTTAAGGGCTGAGCATAAACTGGCTGTGTTTATGGGGGAGCTTAGCAGCAGAAGAAATGCTGCCTTTTCCAGAGCTGATTACTGAATTCACCGCTGTGTTCAGTCCCTGATAAGGAAACCAGTGACTTCCCTATTGACCATGGGCATCCTTTGGCACTTTAGCAAAAGTGACTGGTGCAGGCTAAATATGGGTGGCATATATATGGTGAAAAGCATATGCAGCCTAACCACAGATTTCCGTGCATTAACTACTGTGTGATGGGATAAGATCAGAGGGAAAAGCAGGATAAATCTTGGAAGAAGGAGATCCAACACAGAGATAAAAACAGCTCAGGCTGGGGAGCTGCGATTCACATAAGACAGAGGATTCATTTCATGTGATCTTCTTCTCCTTTTCCTCTTTCACTACCTAGCACAGAAAACTCTTCTAAAATACTAGGCCATGAGAGGCCATACTTTCTTGTAGAGGAGAACTGTTGGGTAGCAATGCTGCAGTTCCAGCCTCTGGACCATAATTTGCTCCCCGAGTCTTCCCAACCCTCATGTCTTGGCCTCACCTTGAAGGCATGACTTGTTGCCCCAGGGGCAGTTAGCATAGCGCTCTTTCACGCCGTGCTCGCTCGCTTTTTGAACACCCACATGCTTTGCTGCATAATTGCCTTTATGACAACCCGTGTGATGTTTTCTGTTTGTAGGGTGAGGAGTTCAAGTCTTGAGTGAATCAGCAAAACTTTATTCTTGAATATTCCTGTACTATTGTTGAAATGTAAAAAAAGCTCACATGACAAATAGATTAAATTCCTTCAGAGTATTTCTACCTTTAAGTGTACTGCACTCTAAATATTTTAGAAGGTACTGGATATTATAGCATAGTGCAAATATTAGTTATAAGGTACTGTACCTGTATGTGTCTGTAGGTATTTGGCTGGAGGGGGATAGTGACTTGCAGAATTTTATTTACCAAATTAAACGTCTTTGCACAGCTGCTTTAGTATCAAGTAGATTTGATTTCTTCCAGAAATGAGAATAACTGCTTTTAAAATGGACTATCACTAGAAAAGACAAATGGTAGCAGAATAAAAATGTCCCTTCACACACCTTTTCCCACATTCATGTCTTCCCTTTTTGACTGCAGGATCAATAGCTCATTGCTGTGTTGGTTCAAATAGTATTTCTGTCTTATTCAGATAACTCTGTGCCGCAATGTATTATTTGTAAATTCTGTTGGCAAGCTATTGAAGAGAAATGGGGGAGCTGCATATCACGGACTCCACAATAAATGAATACCAATTATTACCTCTTTTAGAGCTTAGATGAACAGAAAAGTACTGGCAAAACGAAAGATAGAGCATTAATTAAATAACTGTGAGTCGAGTTTTTTAGTGGAAGTGTTGTACTGAGCTGGTTTATTTACTTATAAATTATTAGTGAGTATTGTTTAGTACACAAAATTTGTATTAAAGCCTGTAATCAGAAAGTCTGTATAAACCATAGTATCAGAATAAGTCAGAGATTATATGAAGTATGCACATTGCTGTACCATACCCACTACCACAGTGAGACGTTTATAGCAGAAATAGGGTTTTATCAACTGGATTCAGGATTTGTTGTTCTCTCACTGCATTGTATGGGCTGCTTAGAAAGAAGGAAAAGCCAACTGGGATAGCAGAAATATTTGCTTTGATTTTTAGATGCTTCCTTCACTTCTAAAATTTAATTCTGATTAATCAGATACATGTGTCTTTATTCTGTTGTGACATGCATTGATTTGTGATGCTGTCGCTTTCAATAATGTGGAAACAGTTGCCTTTATTATGAGAACCAGCAGAAATCAACATGCAGGCTAACTTCATTTTTAATCTTTAATATTTTTTTCATTATATATGGAGCAAGCTGCATGGATGATTTTAAACACAAAGCTACAATTAAAGCTAGATTAAATTTGAACTAAACGATAGTGGAGAAAACTTTCTAGTCATAATACATGTTTATACAATTCACTGATGTAGATTTTACAATGTATTTTCAGAACCATTTCTAAATTAGAACCATTGCTGGCAGAGAATTAATTAATTTACCCAGGATATATCGCATTTCTCTGTGCTATTACAATATACATAGTCAGGCTCCAACTAGTTCACTCTCTGTACATTTGCACTGCGTGCACCTCGCTTCGTAATTGAAGGTGGTAAAAAAATCATGGTACAATGACGCATTGTTTTCCATAACATTAGTATTTCACAGAAGTGAATCTGTATTACAAAATGTATATTTTTGTGTGATATTACAGCATAGTAATTTAGATTAAACTAGTTATAATTTATGGTGCCAAGCCAAAAAGCTATTTAAGATGCATTAAAATGCAGAACCATGACATTTGAAATTCTGATGTTCTTAATATGACAAAGGTTATTCTATGGAGTTTTGCTATAATATGAAA